TAATCGCAGAGGTTGGTCCGATGAAAACAAAGAACATTATAGGTTCCACGCACTTTCTGCCTGGGCATTGTTCTCAGCTCAGGAATTTATCAGGATAATGACCCTACTACAAAAGATATGATAATCATAACAGTACATATTCAAAAAACAGGAAGTGCATTCTCAATTTGGATATGTAAAACTTAATTTATGGGTCAGTAACAAAGAAGGTTTCATGTTCTGGGGCATAAAATACACATTGCTCTTCGCTAGTTCATCGTATCCTAGTAACGAAACTCGAAATTCAATACTTTTTGTAACTGTCGATTCACCCTTTCTTATTATATTACGTCATCATATATGTATGTTATATGAAATGAAATTAAAACGAAAATGATACAATAACTCTTTATTTTTCGACGTAAGAAATTAAAATTTCGTTTGTTAAACGTCAACATATTTTTTTAAATTATTACCGTTTCAAAATTTGTTTTTTCTGTCTGCAGAAGAAACGGCGAGAGAAACTCCACTGGTATCTTCTTAAATTTTTAGACAATTCTTTATCAAATTGATAAGGAAATGACCCATTGGTAATCAAAGTATGTTCTATAGTTAAATTAAACACAACAATAAAAAATATGCATAATCAAAGCTAATAAATGTATGTATTGAGGCAATATATAATTATATCTGAGTCATAAGTAAACGCATTAGTATTTCGGTTATCAAGCCATGATAGATATTTCAATGAGACAAACATATTACCACCACGTGGACAGTGCGCGTTCTTAGAACGATGTTATTCGAAGGGCTCTGATCTCTACAAACGTTTTCTCGATTTTCGAGGCTTGTGGAACAAGCCCAAGCAGACCAGTATCCACAAGCAGCACCTATTCGCAAGTATGTCGTATGTAGCAGACATTGCCCATATTATACTTCGACTTACTACAGAGTAGTAGAAAACCAGAACAGACCAAATTCCTTTAAAACCAATAACTTAAAACATTTCATTCAATGCTCCGATTGTATTCGATACAAACGATAATACAATTTCAAACGTTAATGTGAATTGACATAGAATGCGAAGTACATCAAGATAAAATCAGATTGAGAGACAGAATCACATTTGCCGGGCGGATTTTCAATGACAGAATGATTATGACTTTTTGTAGAGGTGTACGTTTTTGTGAGTATTTCGTTTTTTGTAAGTATTAAGCAAATACTAGTTAACCTAAACGATAGCCTATACATAGACTAAAACCAGTTTATTTTGACCTTACGGTTATAAGTCGTTCTCCTTGCCATAATTAAAACGAGACTATGTCCATGTTCATTTTATGTTAGTATAAAATGTGTCCACGATATAGAATAAATTCCAACAAGGGTGGCAAACGAGCACACCGTCAACTGATGGTATGTAGATGCTGTGGTCTAAAGATATCTACATTTATCCTCGGTTAAAAATCAAAATGCACGTGCGTTGACATTCTCACACTCACCCATACCAAACCCAGCACGGTTAAGCTACTTTTTTATAGGAAAAGGATGACAAGAGCACACAGTTCACCTGATGGTGAGTGGTTGCTGTGGCCCATAGACATCTACATATATCCTCGTTTGCGAATCAAAATGCAGATGCGTTGTCAGCTGTGAGGACTAAGATGTAATGCCTCTTTTACAGTAATAAAAGGGTCTCTGGTTCTCTACACTCACAATACGAAACACTGCAGCATTAAGCTGATATTTGACGCTGGTATTCATGTGAGAGCGTAGCCCTTCCCCAGTCAAGCCAACCCATTTGTGCTACAACTACACAATTAATATAGCTGGAGCATGGTTCTATCACGAAAAAATCATGTGATTTTTACGCTAGCTGCTACTTTATTCTGTGAGAGCGTAAATCTTTCACCGGACGAGCACATTCATTCTTGCTGCAACCATAAGATAGCTGCAGTGTGGCCTCGCAACAAAAAATAAGTCTTTGTGTAACAAAAGCCTAGTAAGGAAAGCCGAACCGGTAGGGAGAGTTCAGATCGGAAGAGTATTTAAGGCAACTATATTTATTTATCATCTCATCATCAAATGGACTGTCAGCTCGTTTCCAACTGAGGATATTATAATTTTAATCTCCTTTTAAAATTCATGATTTCTTAATCAACGTAAACCAAATTTACATTGTTATTTCACTTTTGAATTTGAATTCGTAAGCGTATAAAACTTAAAAACAAAACGAAAAAATAAGCTCATATTTAACATTACATTTCACCATGAATAAAAAAGAAAAAATATTAAAACTATAAGCTTTCTTTGTGAAAACCTTTGCGCATTTTTATACGCAACAATAATAATTAACCAACTGATTTGAGCCGAACTTAAAACGGGTTAGTGGAACGAGTAACCTTGACATCAGTGGGTTATTTGTTAATCTCAAAAACGTATTGAAAAACAAATCGATTGTCTGAACACAGGTTGGAAAATATTTCGAACGAGATTAAAAATTACACAGAGTTAATTTGCATCAGAAATATTTAAATGAATTGCTTTTCTAAATTAATTACATTTGAACATGGTAGAGCTACACTGCAGATATATTATGCTTGTAGCATAAATGGGTCGGCTCGACCGGGCAGAATGCTGCTGTGTTTGTACGGTGAGTGTAGAGAATCGGAAACCCTTTTTACTAAAAATGAGGCAAACCAACTTATTCCTCAGGGGCGACTACAAACCTGTATCTTGAGTCTTGATTATAGTTTTGATAGATGAAAATGTTTATGGGTCACAGCATCATGGACACTTACAATCAGGCGCACTGCGTGCCCATTTTTCACTGTTATTCTAAAAAGAAGTAATTATCTAAAGTACTTCATAATACTCATTGAAAGATTATTTTTTGTTATTTGCCACTAGTTGTAAATAACAAATAAATACTCAGTAACTAATAAAATTGTTAATAATGATCCGTATATGGAACAAGAAATTGTAAAAATGGTGTTAATGATATATAAGTGGTCGGTGCTCTATGACCTAGAACTTGACGGCAAGCGAGCTAAGAAACTGGTTTGATGAGTCATGTCTCAGCTGCCGATTTCTGAGAAACAATGTTATTTTATAAGTGTTTCCTCCCGAACCCCAGTACATACGGACATGCGTACCTTCGCTGGTTAGTCATGCGATTGTTGGTGACCAATTTATATAATCTTTCCGGATATCGTATCCGGTAATTCGATGTGATGAATGATATAATGAAAATACTTTTGCAGTTAGTTATAACTTCACATAGGTATTATCGGTACATAATGTTGCTAAACATACTAATATAATAATAACTCATGTTTTAGATATAACAATCCAATAACAATTCTTAAAAAAATTACATTTGAGTGCAGATTAATTAAGCCACCAATATCTATCAATATCAATCAAATAGAAATATATATTTAATGAAATTATTTAATACTATTGTAATGACATTTTTTCTGCAATTCAATTTAATATAAAATATATTAATACTTCCTACATATTATGTTTTTTAATTTATATTAATTATATTAAAGTTAGGTTCGTATGAAACACAAAGGGCTTTGGACTGTGGTCATAATGTATATATCCGCTGAATCATAAAGCAAATGCTCATATTTAATTACTACTGTACAAAATGACGCAACGATCATTGAAAATATATACCTCTAATGACCAATACCAATCAATATAACATGCTAAACATAATGACTCAGATTCATGTATAATGCTTACGATAATAAAAGAGGAACACATGTTAATGAACGTATGCAGATTGCGAGCATTTTATCTCGGCCGGTTATGATCCTATTTCTGAATGAACGGAGTTTTACTATCGGTCGTGAGGGGCTACTACAGAATCACTCGGATACAATTTAATATAATGTAGAGGCGCTCAATGAGCGTAGTTCTCAGAACTAAATGAATCAGCGGTGACGAACGAGATTACTTCCGATCTTGGTTCTGATAATTCATCTAGGTATTCATCGTTCGATGTTGAATTTAACCGGAAGCTAATAAATGCTAATTAGTCTTTATAATACCCGTGTAGTGGCGGTGTAAGAATATTCACTACACCATGTCGTACCGAGGGTGTGGTAAGAGGCGATAGATGGAAAATGAAACAGGAGATGAGCAGCAGCATCGTCCTGATAACACCTCAAAATAATAAAAGAACTGCGGTTGCCAATCCGTTTGCCAAACATGTTAACTATGACAAAATCCCTCCATGAGGCAATCTATGAGGAAGGCCTATGTTCAGCAGTGGACTCTTATAAGCTGTCGTTTTTATAGACTTTTATATTGTGATAACTGCAAAAACTAAACATTTAAACAGTCGTATGGAAATACAAGTAAAGTTTGTTGAAAGTTATTTTAATATAAAATCAGATTAATATCACTTTATTGCCAGATTAATAAAAAACATCTTTAAAATACTAAACACGTAAAGCTAATAAAATGTAGACAATCATAAGTGACTCAGACATTTGCTGACACGGGACAATGATCCCATGTAGCGCTGGTTTTTAGGCATTCCTTTTTTGTTATACGGGAGTCACGAAAATTAAGGATTAAACAAAAATAATATAAAAGTAAGTATTAATAAATTATTTTCATAAGAATTAAACAATAAAGTTACACAAAATAAAAATGGCAAAGTTACCTCGGTATATTGTGCTTCACCGCCGATGTTATGGCTGTAGTATGTATTAGTTTGACCGGGTAAAGACCACACTCTCATAGAATACCAGCATAAAATAGCAACTTTATACTAATTTGTTTCGTTTGGTAAGTGTAGAGGACCGACGGCTTTATTGGTAACGAGTCATTCCTTCAGGGGTAATAATGCATCTACATTTTAATCTTAATCTAAGACAAATGTATCTATGTACCACAGCATCCACTTACCATCATGTGGACTGTGTGCTCGTCTGTCACCCATATTCTGCAAAAAATATACAAATAGGGCTTCTATAATTAAAAAGCATGTAAACAATACTTACCATAGCCTTATCCGTGTCATGAAAAGTTGGAGCAGCGCTGCTTTTCGTCAAGAAAACAAATGCCGCCGTCATTGTCCACAATATCCTTAAACTGCTTCTTAAACTAACGAACGCCATGCTGTTTGTTAATATGCCTTCTCTTGTACTACCAAGTGAGCTCATTTATTTATGTTTTTTCAAATTGTAAAAAAAATACGTTTATATTCTCAATATGGACGGAATTTCATTCCTATTACAATTATAATTATTCTATAAAATTATTATTTATTTATTGCTTTCGTCGATATGTTTGAGTGCGAGTTTAGTTGATCTGTAACAAAATAAAAAGAATATAAGATTAAATTAACCATGATATGCTCTTATTTACTATAAATAATTAATGACCTTATTCTAGCATTTACGCATCTGCTTTGATATAATATGTGTTATAGAAAAATGTAGATATTGAATATTGCAACGCGGTATGAATCCTTTCATTCTTCCTTGAATCCTTTTGCGTTCGTCTGAGATGTTACTCTCTTTTATACGCAGTAGAGCCACGCACGCTCTCACAGAATACTACACTGCTGTTTTTCATATGGTGAGTGTAGAGAACTGAAAACCCTTTTTACTGGAAACAAAGCATTTCACCTTAGTCTTCAAGAGTGACAACGCATCTGCAATTTGATTATTTATGGATGATAGATGTAGATGTCTAGAGGCCCCAGTGTCAATTTACCAACAAGTGGACTGTGTGCTCATTTGTAACAAAAAACTCTCTACTATGCTATATAATATACCGCAGCTTTATGGATAGCAATAGCAGTTTTGTGTTCCAATTTTAAGGTACAGTATGATTCCGAGCAGTTAGGCTTTCTGTCTTAGAGGTGACAGTTTATCTGCGGCCTATGTTGCTGTAGGTGTTCAATATATCTAATAAGGTGTAATTGTCATTTAGTTTCCAAGTTTAAGTCCACTGTTGAATATACGCCTTCCCACGTGGAATGTAATAGTTACCACGCTTACGAGACGTTTTTTATTATTTGGAGTTGTTCACATCACCTGTCACCTCTTACGACACCCACGGGATGATACGGGATATTCGTCTATATATATACTTTCGTCAGCTGTCACTGCATGGCGTACATACATAGTTCATAAAATTTCGATAATATAATTAATATGGAGTCCTGTACTCCTTTTCTACCTACCACAAATACACAATTCAACACAGGTAACATGTGATTCAGCACTGCAGTGCAGATATTTGAACGAAACATTTTATTAATTTATTATTTTACTTATGCTTGACTTAGTTGAGCTGAAGTGATAACAGATAGCATCATAATCCCCCGCGATACTTTAAGAATAAATACAACTTATATAGAAGTGATTCATTCGCGTATGTTTACATAATTTAAAAAAAAACATGCGTGAGTGTCGTGCAACACTCAGTTGGAACGAAGGTTTTTTCGTAGTATATTATTATTGTTAAACGTATTATATTATTGATAAACAAAAACAAACAAATGAATTACTAGCGTCTATTAAAACGAACTGTCAATAAAATAATATTTTTTGCATGGCAAGATAAGGAAAAGTACCAGTGAGATAGATATTATTCCATCTCGCTTACTTATAGTCGTCAAGGCCGTCTACACTACGTCAGAAGGGATCGTGACTGAAAAAATCTTACACTTCTTCTCGCCTAGCCCCCATCCGCCTTATTCGTAGCGTTCGATAAGGAACTTCGTATAGAAATATCTCACTTTGAGGCAGTCTATGGTGAAGCCTAAGATCAGTAGTAGACTTTTGATAGGTCCTAACAGTAACGGAAAGCATACACATCACTATTTATAAAAATCAATTGTTGTTCGTTGATCTCGCTGAATCTCGAAAACAGCTTGACCGATTTGGATGAAGATCATTGATGTTTTTTGGGCTCGGTAGGTGGCACTGTTGTCGAGATGCAGAAAATATCTGTGCGATGCCGGGGTTTATCGTTAGTTCTTAATAAACTTCTTATTTATCCGTCATTGGTCCAAAATCAAAACTTAGGAAATTGCCTAACCTTACAACGCTGCGAACCACGGTTTTGAATCCCGCATAGGACAAGTATTTATATGGCCATAAATAATTGTTTCTGGTCTGGATGTTTGTCTATGTGCAATTGATATATTTAAAATACGCCTGTTCGTACAGAAGAAAAGAAAGTGGGAAACTTACACTTAAATCATTTAAATACTGAAAAGTTATCCGTCAATGAAAAAACATAAACCGCGTTTAAATGTTTGTCTCTGATAATAGTGCATTTTGCTTGATTGTGATAACTGATTAACTGATATCTTGTTACAATTAAGGAAAATTTATTTTTCTATAAATTTTATCGTTGAGCCCTTAACAGTGTACTAGCTTACTATAGATAGATTAAATAAAAACAATTTCAATGCGTACATAGCCACTTAGTCTCGAATACACTTCATATCAGAAGTCTTGATGCCTTTTAAAGATTTTGTTAATAAAAACAGTTATGTTCTTAACGAGTTGTATTCACTCGGTTGACCTAGATCCGTCGATATGAGCAAGTGCTGCGGGCTTGTCATCAAACATTATTATCAATGGGCAAAGATAAATTGTTTCATTATAATTAACCGCTGTTTATTTAGTGTCTTAAAATACATCGATTTATTAATCTTAAGTATACAATAACATTTAAGGGTTAACTTATCTAAAATTCAATAAAAGGTTTGCAGAAGCCATTAATATCATTGATGGTTCTAGAAATTAATGGAAATGAAAGTGTTTAGAAATTAAAACCGGTTGAGCCGTAAAATGAGCACATAAAAATTAGATACGCGTACAATATACAACCTTCTTGTTTTTGAATCCCGATAAAAAATACATGACTTTAAAATGTACTTTGAAAGATATGTCAAAAATGGTCATCTTCCAGCATGAGTTGTGGTGAAATCACAATGCTTATTTTCAGTAATGACCAAAGCTTTAGAGAACACAATCCTTTCGTAAAAATGGGTGGCCGTCAGCTCATCTCGTCGTCAAATAAAAACAAATTTATTCAGTGTATACGTTATAGGTATATTGAGGTTGCCTATACATCTGTCAAGCCTAATAATTATGAATTCGTATCTACTATGCAAAATAATTGCGCAGAACACAGTAATCTATTATGGGCTGTTGAAAAGAAGGAGTTTTCTTAAAACGCTCGATGAAATCTTACTAAACCAATTATATTTGAAATAAATTGCAGAAAAAATCAATCAACAAAATCAATAAACCGTTACCAAGGTTGTTTTTTGTATCTCCAGACTACAACAGCAATTAACGTTAAAAGAAATAACCGTTTTAAGCAAATTTGAATATCTTTAACACCTAATTTTCTAACTCTAATACTACTTTGAAACTAAACCATTAAAGCTGGTCAGTGATCGAAATACTTGACTATTATGTCGCAGTTCTGGATTGAATCCTCATAGCCAACTTTTTTGCGACATAAATTGTTGTTTTTAATCGACTTCGAAAAAAAGGGGATTTTTCATGTGTGTTACTTCAGAACTTTTTTCTAGGTGAACCGGTTTTGATGATTCTTTTTTTTTTCATTGAAAACTGATGCTTTGATCAATCAGAGGTCATAACCGAAAGCGCAAATCAAAGAGAGGTGTCGCCAACAATGTTCCACTCACCAGAGCGTGACCGGCAGTTTCACCGACGGCATTGGCTTCGGATGTCTTACCTAACTCCATTTATATATTTTTTTACCATAGAACTCTTGCCTATTCGAACGGCTATTGCGATTCAAATTTTGGCACCGAAAATCCAGCAATATCTAAAAGTGAAATTAAATAACTGGTGACAAATCTACTCGGCCGTTAGAAATGATCGATCGACTTTGTAGTCAACTTTCAAATTGATGTTTTTTTGTAATTGTTATTACAATTTTTCTAACAAGGGGAATTTATTAATTACCACAGAAATAAAGTTATGCATTATAAGTATTTTTATTAAAATTAAAAATGGGTCTGTAAACTACAAATACTAAATATCTTTGTTTTTATGCGCAATTAAAATTCAACTCTCCATACATATTAAGGAAATACTAAAAAAAAAATTTGTTATTTTTGAATGCAGAAAAAAGCTATCTCAAGCATGACTAATACTAATTACGCAAAGCTTGCGGAAGTCTTGTAATAAACTATTAACAAACCGACATTCTCAAATGAAGGGCTTAACTATTAGAAACTAAATCCATTAAAATTTTCAAACCATCTTTCTCTTATAGCTGAGATTCGCTTAAAGATTATTTTGCATACTCATATTATTAGCGCAGAGTAGACTAAATTAATTTATTAATTATAAAAATTACATACATTTACAAAATTATATAAATTAATAAATTTGTTTCGTGGGATCTGTGCTAATAATACAAGTAATATTTTTTAAATTAGTTAAAACAATTTCAAAAAAAATGACGTCTTGTTACAATTATTGTTGGTGTTTAAGGTAATCCATCACCATGCCACCCACTACTACACCATTGAGTCGTGGAGTAAGAGAATTCACCAAGGCATATCGTCCCGTGAGTATCTTTAGAGGTGACAGAAGGAAACTGAAACGTCATATGGACAGTAGCATCTTCCTAATAACAACTCGAAGTAATAAAAAAGTGCAGTTATCAACCTGCCTGCTAAGTGTGGTAATTACATTCCTAATTAGGCAATCTATGAGGGAGGTCTATGTTTAGCTGAGGAATTCGATATAATGTAATGATGATAGTAAATAATAAAAAATAGTGATGATAATGCGCCCTGAACTAAAACCTATTTAATAAAAAACAAATCATTATATTCCTTTAGGTAATTTCTGAGAAATCGGTGAACATACATTAAAAAAAATCTACGCGTCGAATATAGAACGTCATCGTTTTTTGAATTAGTTTAAAATACAGCAGACTACTTACTGCAAGTCTTCCTGTATATGAGAGATATCTTTGTTTAATAGTAGCTTTTTACGGGCTGATGATGAAGGAAATACTTAGTATAAAGCTTTTGTAAAAAAAATTAAAGTTTTTTTTTATAGGATAGGGTGACAAACGAGTACACAGTCCACCTAATGGTAAGTGGTTGCTGTGACCCATAGACATCCACATCTATCCTCAATAAAGAATCAAAATGCAGATGCGTTGTCACCCGTGAGGACTAAGATGGAATGCCTCTTTTCCAGTAAAAAGGGTCTACGGTTATCTACACTCACCATACAAAACAGAGCAGTGTTAAGCTGCTATTTTACGCTGGTATTCTGTGAAAGCGTGGTCCT